TTTTTTTTTTTTTTTTTTTTTGTATCAGTTATATTTTACAATTTTAAGTTGGTTATTATAGATCAAAATGTAATTAATGTGTGTCTTTGGTAAGCTCTAGATTCCAAAGATGAAGGCTTATGTTAGTGATACAGAAGACTTGAAACAGGATCCATCATATCAAGACACTTGGGATGACATGATAATCAATGTGAGTGTGATTGACTTGTTGACTATTCTATCCTCCCCTTGTTATATAGTGTATATTAGCGTTACAAACTTATAATTTGTAAGAAGTTCATCAGGAATTCAAAGTTTCAAACTTTCTGATCAATGCATGGGGTGATTTTACTCAAGTAGGTGGAATTTTTTAATTTTTTGAGTAATGTTATTTATCCCAGTAAAATGTACACCCAACATTGAACAGACCAGTGATTAACTAAATGTAAAAATATGGTTAATTTTGTTTTATAATTTAAATATAGTAAATAAACATAATTATATATAGAGTTTGTTTGGCTACAAGTTTAAAAATGCTTTGCAGAGGTTCTCTATTAGAAAATATTCTTTATTTTCAGTAGAAAACCTTTCAAAAGTACTTCTAACTTATATCCAAACAAGCTTATAATTGTTGATGTGGTTAATATTAACTACTTGTAAGACAAAGTTAACCACTATTAGATATTCAAGTAACCTCTTGGCACTATTAACCACTTGTAATATAAAGTGAACCACCATTAGCCATTTCAATAACCCTATGATATTATTAAAGCACATACCAATAATTCTATACAATCACATTCATTTTCTTTTAACCACATGTGTGACAAAGTTAATATATTTACACATGTAATCACTTGTGACAGTTAATAACCTTGTAATATTGTTAACCACTTGTAAAACAAAGTTAACCATTATTAGATATTTGAATAACCTCATAACATAATTGACTACACATTCATAATTCATAATTATATACAATCATGTTTATTTATTCATAACCATTTTAGAAATAAAGTTAACCATATGTATATAATTAACCACAACTTCAGGTGGACGCTGGGTGGACAAACTCAGTTGGACGTTTCTCTTTTTCCTAATTTCTTTGCAGTTGAAATATTTCTTCAATTAGGTTAATTGTGAACTACAAAATGATAGTGTTACTGAAGTGATCAAACATGTTTCTGCAATTGGTATTGTTGCTAAGAAGCAGCACAATTATTGATAATTATATTAATCCTGGTTATGCAAAAGCAATTTAACTCACTTTGATGTCCTAAACATGCCTTCAGCTTAATTTTTATGGCATCTTTGTTCTTCGGTTGCAGTTTCTTGCAGAGTCTTTGGATGTGATCCAAGATGCAGATTGGGTTATGTCTCTAGGAAATGTTTTTGCCAAACATTATGAACTTTATGCATCTGATGATCAACACACTGCACTTCTTCACCGGTATCAATGCTCTAACTTAAAGTTATTTTATTTTATTTTTTAATTTTTTTTTGTAGATGCAATAGAAAAATAGTATGTTACATGATGCTTTCTGTTGTTTGAGATGTTGCTTGCTTCACAGTTTATGTTATCTAATCTAATACAAAATGATGCAAATGAAATTGTATTTCTACCAGTAAGATTGAGGTTCTCTACAGAATTTGAAATTAATTGTTGATGATTCATCATGGTTTGTTTGTTTAATCCAGTGATTTTTTATTGTTTTTTTCTATATCAGTAAAAAGCTCCACAGTATTTTTATTTTTTTTAATGTCAGAATTGTTGTTTTAAAACTGGTTAAACTGGGGAGAACCAGGGAGGAGGGTGCCCTGTTGTTCAACTGGTTCTACTGACCAGGTTCTCTGGTCATGAGTGGTTGAACTGCTGGTGCACTTTTGGTGTGATACATATTGGTATGGTGTCTAGTTGGTTGGTGGTTCAGTCTGTGGAACTAGGTTTTTATACAGTGATTAAATTGGGTTCTTATGATTTATCTACCCTTGTAAAGGAACCTTGTGTTGGCTATATTATATTGCTTCTGTTTCTCACTGTTCTGTGTTTATGTTCCCCTTTTATTGTTTAGGGCCTCTACTGTGCTTTTGTAAGACTATATTATATTGCACTTGAAAAGCTTTAGGTTTTTGCCCCATGGGAACTAATGTTGTTTTGGAAATGGTTCTTTTTACCCCCTCCTATTTCATGCGAATATATATCAATAGTATGAATTACCATTCAGCTAGGGTTATTGTAAGATATGCCTCCTCACATTTTATCTTGAAAGTTGTGCACTTTAGTGGAAAATTGTGCTTTTCAAAGTTGCCATTACCTACTATACAGTGACAGAATGATGTTAATTTTCTATCAGATAGAAATCTTATCAAAATATTTCCATCCTATTATCTACTAGACACTGTAGTTTGCACGAAATTATAGAGTTCATGGAATTAATTACCCCCTTTATTGACTGTAGTATATTAATATTTGGATCATAGTACTGCTTCATGAAAAAAAAAGGTTGAGAACAAAGCTATTTAGTCATATTTTATGGAATAGGCCAAAGTACTCCCCAGCACATTTTGTTGGCATGTTTGTAATGTAATGATAAGAGATCCTCCTATATATACACACACACACAACTATAAGTCTTACCGACTATTAAACCATTTTTTCTCTCTATATACCTTTCTTTTTTGTCTTCTGCTGCATTTGTATCATGGTATCAAGAGCTTCTCTTTGATCCTGAACCTTGGTTTCCGCAACAGATTCTCTTCCTCCTGAAAACAGAGTATTATGTAATGAATTATGTTACATTACAATGTATTGATGTGTGTATAAAATCTAGAGCAGCAATGCTTATTTATATTAATCATAATCCTGACTAATTAGGAAAATAAATCATGAGATAATGAAATATGGTAACTGATCCTAAGATATAATGGGAAGTATGGAAACTATTCCTAAAGTGTATCTAAGATACTCTAAGATATTTTCATATAGCAATGACCACGGACTTTACATGTAGAAGCCAAGAGATGCATAATCTTATCCCAAAATAAAAAGCTCATCCAAAGATTTTTCTTGAAAGGGCTCCAACCAAATGCACAAAAGAGTAGCGTATATGACACATTGCCATGAAAATTAGTTTTTTTTTTTTCCTTCAATCAAAACTAATAAGGCTATTTAACAGAAAGTGGTCCAAATCTGGAGGACCTAGGGCAAACCCATCACTTCCACTAAAAGGACAAATGTAGAATTAAAGAAACAGCTGGAGAACAATGTAAGAACAAATGGGGAACCAATTCCATCCTTGCAACTCAATATATTACGCCAATGTACCTGCCCTTATATTAATAAAAAAAAAATTGTTTTTTTTAGGAATATGTGATAAAAAGTGACTAGTGGAGCAAATGATGTACAACCTTACATGCAGTTTTTTTTATTACTTCCAATCTGTACATAAAGGCTTGTCTACTACTACAGTATTTGTTTTCAATTTTTTTTGGCACAACCATGTATTTTCCAATTTGGTTCTCTCTGCCTGTTGTCTGGAAATTCTAGTGCCCATTATTTAAGCGGACCGGTTGTGAAAAACAGTATTGAACATGAACACAGGTGCTTGGGGATTCTGCTTCAAAAGGTAAATGACAGAGCTTATGTCCATGACAAAATAGATTGGATGTATAAGCAAGCAAACATTGCAATTCCAACAAATAGACTTGGGTTGGCAAAAGCAATGGGATTGGTAATTTAGTCTCTTGTTTATTTATTTATTTTGATCTTGTTCGATGCATTTTCCTTTACCAATTGCTTAACTCACTTTTTATTTATTAAGGTTGCTGCATCCCACTTGGATACAGTGTTGGAGAAGCTGAAGGATATTTTAGACAATGTTGGACAAAGCATATTTCAGAGGTTTATGCCAGACTTATAGGATCGAGTGTATACACTTTTCTTTCTGGATTGGTTTATCTGCTCACATCATAAACCCTTGCTTTTGTATATGAATATTGAACATAATTTATTGACAAATTATTGTTGTCTCTTTCTAAATTTGCTCCCTTTTGTATGTCATTATGGTTTGAATGTTCATAACCTTTACTTGCTATGGTGTATACTGTCTTGTGTCTTTCAAAATGTTCTTTGATGAACTATTAATGTTGTTCAGATCTAACTGTCACTCATGATTTGTTTTCATCCTCCCTTGTCTCCTTTTATGTGTTTTATTTTCACATTTTGGAAGTTTGCCATTGAGCCATTCAATATATTTCACATTGAAGGTCAAAACCTCAAGTATGTTTTTGATTTATAATTTATGAAATGTGGCTTCCTTGTAAGATGTGCTACCTTTCTAGGATATATTAAGAACTGGTAACTAAGGTCGTATATCACTATTGTATTACTGGAATTTTCTCTCTGTTACTGATATTAATTTAAATGGATGTCGGAAACAGAGGGAATCAATTTCCGTAGATCCTCCTTAGCAGAAAAAGGAAAATACAGAATGCTAATAGGATTTTAGCCTCTTCAAGGGGTTCACTCCCCAAGTCTTTACTCGATCTCTTGATGTGCATCTCCCTGTCCCTTTCCTTCTCTATGCCTTTCTGCCATCTGTTTCTCCCTTGCTTTCATAAACCCCTTGTGATGCAGGTAAGGTTGTTACAGCCCAAATTTCCATTCTGCCCCTTTCCACATTTTACTTATTGTCTTGAGTCTCTTACCTACCATACCTTCAGATCTTTGTTTCCTTTCTAATATTCGATTAGATTTGGTTTTAGTCTTATTTGTTTGTTGATATATATTTCCTTTGGTTGAACAATAAGTTTGCATCAGAACATGACGTCAGTTTAGAAAGAGAGATCTTTACTTCCTTTTATTGAAAATTAACCTTGTTTGCATCAGAAAATTCCAACAGTTCCTTAACTTACTCTTTGGATGCTTTATTTCTTATAAGCTATAATTAGATTCAGACTTTGTCTGACCTGTTTGTAGTTTTCATTTGTTGCAGGATACTGTCATTGTTCTCTGATAGTTTCAGAACAGAAGAGTCTGATGACATACATGCTGCTTTGGCGCTAATGTATGGATATGCTGCAAAATATGCCCCGTCAACAGTTATTGAAGCCCGAATAAATGCTCTTGTTGTAGGTCATCTTTTTTCTCTGATTTTGACTTGGTATTTTTACAATGTCTTGCTTTATTCCTGACCAGATACCAAAGGAATAAAAAATGTGTTTGGAACCCTTCTCATTTTTTTAAATGCAGTTTTAAACTTTTATTTTATAAAGTACCAAAAGAGCTTTTAAGACCAATAAAAGAAAAGATGTGTTTTGGATTTTTTTTTTAAACGACAGCTTTGCAAATAACAGTGAATATATTTTTACAGTTTTGCCATTGGTAGAAACAAGTTTAATGAGTTGTTTCTGATAGGTTTATGATTTCTATGGAATCAGGACAACCCAGTATGGAGTACCTGCAGGACCACATGTCCAGGGCTCACTTTGAGTTACCTTAGGCAGGAAATAGGGAAGGAGGGAAGAGTTATATAGAGAGAGGAGAAAAGATGTTAAATAATTGTTATAGTGCCACTATATTTTTTGACCCTGCTATGGTGGCACCATAGGCACAATGTCTTGTTGATATGGTGGCATTTTGGCCATCCGCCATCCACCGTTGATAACAAATCAATGCGTTGGGACTTGGGACTTGTGACTTAATGCATTGATAACAAATCACTGCATTGGGACTTGTGACTTAAGGGTCAGATAAATAAGTTTCTGAGCTAGGTTGATATCCTTCTATATACGGATTGAGACAAGTTATTTTGGAGGTCCTAAATGGAAGGAAATTAATATCGTACATAGACACTGCCAAAAGGAGGAAGACCATGTAGGGATGGATCCGAAATGACAATATTTTTTTGAAATCATTTATTACAGTTTTTGCAATTTGTTAAAAAAATTCTTTAGTTGTTTACCGTTTTTTTTTTTTAATAATTTCAGAGAACAAAAAACAGGAAATATAAATATATAAATTAGGCTTTTTCTGTATTTTGAACAATTATACAAAAATGTTTTTAATATATGTATAGTGAAAACAATCTTCTAAACAGTTTTTTTTTTATTGTTTTTGCCTTTTGAAAACCAAAAGAAGTTTTGGAAACAGTGTATAGCAGAACCTATTTTTTTGATTAACTTTCTATTGTTTTTCCTCTTTAATCTTCTTTTGAAATTATGAATGAAAGCTACAAAGTGGTAAACACAAGTGTAGATTGGGTATCTCCCTTTTAATATATTCTTTTGGTTATTTGCTTATGTTTGTAATCCGGCAAAGTTGATTTGATTGTGTCATTTATTTGTGGGCAGGGAACCAATATGCTCTCTCGGCTTCTTCATGTGCGTCACCCCAGAGCAAAACAAGCTGTCATCACAGCAATTGATTTACTAGGTTTTTAGTTACCTTTTCTGAATTTAATTTATCTTTGATTCTCGTTTTTTTCACTTACATTTTGTTGCTTCTTCCCAATATTGTCATCAAAACTTATGGTTTTATCTTGGCACTTCATTGAAAACTTTATGCAAAATACTGGATTGCTACAAAATCACCTTTACAAAATGAACATTTGTGGAAGTTGTGGTTATTTTTCCCCACATAACATAGTTGTAGAAAATCATGAAATTCATAATTTGTATCAAATAGTACTATACTATTTGCAAAACAAATGTTACAGATTTGAGAGCTAATTGCTTGATGACCAAAATGGCTGAATGAATATTGAATAGATAGAGTCATGTGATATGGTTCTGCGAATCATGGTGCTCTACTGATTCAGGATCCTTTGGTTTGTGCTGGGTTTTCAAACTTGGGTCAAGGATGATCTGACACAACACCAATTCAAAAAGACACATTTTCTTGAAAGACAGATGGGCAAAACACATAGTTCTTCGTTTGTGTGAAAAGAAAACCTTTTTGTTTTTATGCATTAGTGTTTTAAAATTGAACAAAAGCTCTTGGACAATCACAATAACAGTTGTATTATCTTTGTGTTTTTTTCTTTAGTGTTTAGAAGCTTATTTTATCTTGTTGAGTGCACCAAAACTTCATCAAATTTCCGTTTAATGGATACATATAATGGCTGATAATTAATTTTGTGAGCATGATGTAATTCTGATATTGCAGGTAATGCTGTCATTAATGCTGCTGAAAGTGGTTCACCATTTCCACTGAAAAGAAGGGACCAACTGCTTGATTATATTTTGACATTGATGGGACGAGATGATGAAGATGGTTTTGCTGATTACAATGAACTTTTGCGTACTCAGGTATATAAAACTGAGTCATGTTATGCCTATGGTGATGTCACTTGATAATTTAAGATGAGAATATTTGAGTTTTCTAATGTGTTTTATTTTATTTAGGCCCTTGCTATAAGTGCGTGCACTACATTAGTCTCTGTGGAACCAAAACTAACAGTTGAAACTAGAAACCATGTTATGAAGGTATGGGCATTTCATTTGATTGATGTATAATTCAACTTTTAGCCATCTGAGTTTTCTGATGAATTTTACAGGCCACATTGGGGTTCTTTGCTATACCAAATGATCCAGTTGATGTTGTCAATCCCCTTATAGACAACTTGATTACTCTTTTATGTGCAATTCTTCTCACTGGGTAATTTAAATAAAAGGCTTCGTGTTATTTATTCTGCTTAAGTTTCTGGTTTGTTTGTTACCTGTCCTTTTGAATATTGTTCAACTTTGTTGTTTCTTGTACTCTGCTTCATTGTCTTTTCATTGTTCCTCCTGAATGATTTTTATTATATATAAAGAAATTTTTCTCCTTTTCTCAGATCCATTTTAATTGCATCCTGGACTATCACTTGTGTAATTTGTTTTTGATGTCACATCTTATGCACTATAAACATATATAATATCTTCATCATTCATCTCTTTTTAAACTCACCCATCACTCAATTTTTCCCATTAAAATGTTTTTGTTCATAGAATCATATGTATTATATCATCCTGTGTATGTAGAGTTACTTTTTTTTTTCCTTGTACTAATTAGTATAAACATAATATTTAGTGGAGAGGATGGAAGAAGTCGAGCAGAGCTGCTAATGCTTATCTTGAGGCAAATCGATCAATTTGTCTGTTCTCCTGTTGAGTATCAGAGGAAAAGAGGCTGTCTTGCTGTCCATGAGATGCTTCTAAAGTTTCGGATGATTTGTGTTAGTGGGTATTGTGCACTGGGCTGCCATGGGAGTTGTACACATAACAAGCAAATTGACCATACTCTATATGGGAGTTTTTCAAAGCTACCATGTAAATATATTCCATTAGAGAGCTTTGAATTGTTTGTCTTTCATGCATTCTAAAGTATATTTTTTCTTTTCACCCACCAGCTGCATTTGTATTGCCAAGTCGAGAAGCTTTGTGCTTGGGAGATAGGGTAATAATGTATCTTCCACGTTGTGCAGACACAAATTCTGAAGTCAGAAAAACATCAGCGCAAGTAAGTAGTACCTTAGAAGTTTTGTCCCTGTTACCAGAAAAAAAAAAAAAAAAAAAAGGCACAACCTCTCCTTAAGTCCTTGTATAGTTTCTGGAATGTCATGATCTATAAAATGCATGCTCTCTAGTGATCACTTCTACAGAGAGGATATTGCTAACTTGTTCTCAAGTCCAATTGATATTTTGTGTACAGATTCTTGATCTACTCTTCAGCATCTCTCTTTCACTTCCAAGACCTGCAGGTTCGTCTATATCTGCTGAAGAGATAGAATTGTCATACAGTGCATTATCGTCTCTTGAGGATGTTATAGCTATATTGAGGAATGTAAGTTCACTGATCATCTTGTTTTATTAGCTTGCTTGCTGTTCTTCTTTTTCTGTCTTTCTTGTATTTTATATTTGCTCAAGAAAAAAATGAGACCAAAGATCTTGGTTTTCATGTATTTATATCCAGGATACTTCTATTGATCCATCAGAAGTTTTCAACAGGATTGTTTCCTCCCTCTGTATTCTGTTGACAAAAGATGAGGTTAGTATCCTTGATTCTGTGTGTGTGTGTGTGTTGTACTGTTGTGTCTAAGTTATAATTAATGACTGTGTTGACACATGGACAGCTGGTTGCTACACTGCATGGTTGCTCAGTGGCTATATGTGATAAGATCAAGCAGTCAGCTGAAGGGGCTATTCAGGCTGTTGTTGAATTTGTTACAAAGAGAGGGAGAGAACTGACTGATATTGATATCTCAAGGTTTAAAGCATAGTTTATATACCAATGTTATGTTACTGGAAAAACTACTTTTGGCGATATCATCTTTTGAGCTGGTAAATTTTGAGCATCAGTTATGGTGACATACAATGTTTTTGCCTACAGGACAACCCAAGCACTGATCTCTGCCACTGTACATGCAACTGATAAGCATTTGCGTGTGGAAACTCTTGGAGCTGTATCCTTTTAATCTAATATTTTATATTTGATACCTAATCTAAAGATGTATATTTTGTTGACAGTCTTTTGTCAAAATTTTAACTTTTTGGAATCAACAATATTTTATATTATTTGAAAAATATTCAAACCCCCCTCCCTCCCCTTTCTCTCTCATATATGTAAGGATAAGATCCATTCACTTACTTACACCAGATCTTATCTGTTGATTTCATTGAATCTCATTGTTAAAATTATTCCAATTAAAATTTTTTTTAAAAAAAAGTAAGTTTTGAGTGAGACACCTCTCTTTTTTCCCTTGGCCGTTCAAGCTTTGGCAAGTTCTGTAGCGCTTCTCTCTTCTACCCAAACAATGCAGAAAACTGTTGATTTCACAATTTCAATGAGATATTTAGCAGTGGAAGTTTATCTCTGGCGAGAAGCATGAAGTGAGCAGTCTCTCCTAAAAAGAAATAGTAAATATGAATTGAATATATGATCTGGTAATGATTGCCAATGAGAGCGATGTTCAGAAATGATTGAACTTTCTGCCTGACTGCATTCAGACATAATGAAAAACAGAGAGAGCATCAATAATTAATTAACAATCAGTTCACACTTACACTCATCCATGACCTGCAAGTGTGTTGGAAGCATTGAGGGCTGTGGCAATACTGTAGACAGAAGTGAATGAAAGGTTGAGTTTGCAATTAGTTTGTGTTTTATTGATTTTATGTCTACAAAACAAAGACTACGAATCCTTCGGACTACAGAGTCTGCATTGTGAGAGGAGAAGAGAGAGGATGTTTGGGAAACATGGTGAATCTTGAATGCCCAAGGGAAAGTGTGACTCTTTATAATAGAATTCTATGAAATTGGTTCTGGTAAGGACGTCATGGTTATGGATCAACTAGCTCTTGATACCATAATAAAGTTCTGTGTGAGAGAAAGAATTCTGTATGAAAAAGTTATCTGCATTCTGATTATGAAGTACAATGAGCCTAGTATATAGGCATCAGATCCAACTAACACATAACAGGATCTGTGACTGACTTCTAACAGAAAATGAAAGAAAGATACGATGCAGCAGGTCTCCTAGAGGAGCCTTTGCCTATATTGACTAAAGAAAGAATACATTTGTTTATTCTATTATAGTACTTTTAAACTTTTTTTACTTTAATTGGCATAATTTTAGTTGTGACATTCAATGAATAAGATTTGATTGCAAGTCTCAAGACTTATACTTGGTTTTAATAGATCTCACACACACATATATCATTCAGTATTACGGTATATGACTATATGTTATTTCCAAGCTGTTCACCTCTGGCAAATACATCCTTTACTTGCTAAAAAGATTTCTTCTTTGGCTGAAAACACTAGCCCAAAAACTGTTTTTGATGAAGTCCTGGCTACTGCTGGAAGGGATACAATCACAAAAGATATATCTAGGTTACGCGGAGGATGGCCAATGCAGGATGCATTCTATGTAAGTCTATCAATGTTTTCAGTAAGAACTTCTTTACTCGACTCTTTTATAGATTGCTTCCCTGTTCATTTTTAATCTACAATTTATTTGCTCATAGTAATGATTAGACTGGTAGAAAAACAGGAATCTGAAATTTGTTGCTGTCATGTTTTACAGATATGGGAATATGTTAGGGCCTTAGGTAGATAAAGATACAACCTTGAAAGTGTATGTTTACAGAAAGCAAGAACAGTTGGAAGTTAAGACAGTTATACAGTATTTTTAGCGTAGTGACATTTCTATTATGCAGTCTTGTAATTATTTTAACATAAATTTAACCGGTAGTGAAATGAGAATTCTATTAAGTAGTCATCTCTAACATGCCCCCCACATGTAAGAATCATTTGGGCTTGAAGCATTGACAAGGCATAGGCTCACTTACATCATGTATAAAATTCAACCTTCTATTAGAAAAATGGGTGCAACCGTGCAACATGAATTGTACTCTAGATCACATGGTTGGCTTTAATACTATGTCATGATCAAACAATCCCAAAATCTTAAGCTATTTAGTGATGGCACACGTGATTTTAATTTATACATTTTCAATCTGACAGTTACCCTTCTATTCCTCTTCAAATACCAATATAAGATGAGTTTCACGTTTTCATATGTACTCCCATTTCAAGATTTTTTATTTATTTATAAATTTAATGATTTTGAGTATAATATTTCTCAGGCATTTTCTCAGCACATGGTACTGTCAGTTTTGTTTCTAGAACATGTGATATCTGTCCTTAGCCAGATTCCCATCCTTAAGGGTGATGTGGACAGAGTTGAGGATAGCCAGGTTGAAAGTCATACAGAAGATGGCAAACTGCAGGCTGCAATTTTTGCTCTTACTGCTTTCTTCAGGTCTGTATTATCCTCAATACCTTTTGTTTTTAAGATACATAAAGGATCCAACAATTTTCAAACCATTGTTTGATGCAGAGGTGGGGGAAAAGTTGGAAAAAGGGCTGTTGAACAAAACTATGCTTCTGTTCTGTCTGAGCTTACACTGCAACTTGGAAGCTGTCATGGTTTAACATACTCTGGTCAGCACGAACCATTGAGGTGAGAATATAGTATTATTACTTGTTCTAGAAAGCCATATTAATTGCTGGCATCCCTATTCCCTAGCCTGCATTAGTTGTGTCCTCTATGCGGATAAATTGCAGCTTTAATGGTAGTGGTTTAGTCCTATATTAACTATAGATATTGTTTAAATAGAACTTGTAGAGTTTAAGAAGTCTTCATTTTACAAGCTGGTTTTTTAAAGTTTAAGTTAGGCTCAAACTCAAAGTCTAAGATAATTTTAAAAATGGGAAGTTTTGAAACATAAAGTTGATGTTATTTTTGGATGTTTTCAAGGGAATTTAGGGAGATATTTAAACCTGTAAGTAAACACCCAATCTGAGCTTTTATGTTCAGACCCACCATTCTTTTTCTAGGACATGGTATTTTAGTCATGATTTAGTTGGTGCCTTTAGGGGATGAAGGTACCAAGGAAACTGAAGGCAGAGCTGTATCCATAAGTAATAATAATTTTTGTTTTGAACAATTGCCCAGAAATATGCACACAAGTGCAATTGTGAATCCTTTGTTCAATTCCACTTTTACATTCTTGTGCAGGAATCTTCTTATAGCATTTCAGGCATTCTGTGAATGTGTTGGTGACCTTGAGATGGGCAAGGTAAACAAATGTTTGAAACTGCTCCATTAAGTATTATGATATGCTCTTTTAAGAAAAAAATAATATAAAAATATTCTATCCAGATTTTAGCTAGAGATGGAGAACTATCAGAAAATGAGAGGTGGATTAGTCTCATAGGAGACATAGCAGGCTGCATATCTATAAAGCGACCAAAAGAGGTAATGTGATTTCAAATATACTTCTACAACTAGTTATATGCATTAGTTTATGTATCCATATGTATACATAATTGTATGGCCAAAAAGTAAATGGCGATAGGATATTGGAGTAGCTTCAGTATGCATTCATGAAATTGTAGATTTTATGACTTTGTTTCCTTTATTTGTGTTGGAGTTGGAGATATAAATCAAATGCATTTCAAGAAATCTTCTGACAGGTCAAAAGCTTTTAGCTTTAAGATTATTAAGTTCTTGCCATAGTATCATAAATCATAATCTCTTTGATCAAGGGGTTAGGAGTTCAATCCTCACTGCCTTTATTGCATTTGGGGGTATGCATGTTGGGGATATGAATCAGAAGTCAGAACCACATTTGAATATTCTCTTAACAGCTTAAGCTTTTACGATCTAAGTTTTGGTATTTGTAGCAAGTTATGATAATTATATCAATCGATTGTGCAGAAACCATATGTACGCCAAAATTTCGGTGATTTAATATTTGATAAGCCTCTCAATAATTTTATTTTATTTTTATTCAGTTACTAGGAATGTGTGGAACAGGCTGTTTGATGTCAATGAGCAGTGGCCTGCCCACTAGTCATGCAGATTTTATTTAATTCAGTTTGTAATTTTGTGAGAAATGAGGAATAGGTCTTTGTATGTGTGGAAAAATTGTAGTCTAATGGAGTATTTTGCTGATGGAATGAAATGCAATAATTTTCAAAAATCACTTTTTGCTTACATTGGGTCTGGACTCTGGATAGGTTATTTTGGTATCACTGAAATACACTGATTATTTTAGCTGATTGTTTACAACACCATCATCATCAATAAAGTGGTCTGTTAGTTTGGTATTAATTTGTAATTCATAGGAGGATGTCTCATCTCTCCATTTATAGGTTACATGTATTTAGCTCCACCCAGTTACGTCCCTACTCTTTTCCTACAGAAATAATGAATTGACTGGTATTTGAACTCTGAAATAGAGACATGCATGAAAGAACCTGTCTTACCACCAGAAGTTATTGTGCTGTTACTTTTGCTTCAACTCATTTGACATTCTGTTTTATCATTTTCTACAAACACCTTTAGGGCTCATTTGCTTTCCTTGAGAGCTATTTAGTCAAAATATTATGCTCTGTGAAGTGTGGACATGATTGCTCCTAAGATTGTTGGCAAGAAATAATTGTATGTTGTTCTCATCATATGAAAATTTTGACAAACTTTCTTGGCTTGTTGGAAACACAGGTACAAAATATTTGTCTATTTTTTAAAAATTCATTGGATCGACCCCAAAAATACCAAAGGGAAGCTGCAGCTGCTGCATTGTCAGAATTTGTTCGATATAGGTGCTTATAGATTATAGATTGACACTTCAAGCATGTTTCCTCTCATTGATGCTGCAATATTTTATCAATGGCTCGTTTGTTTTATCTTTTGTAGAAAAAGTGCCCTTTTAGTTCAATTTTTTTTTAAGTTTTACTTTAAGCAAGTTTTGTGAAAATAAATATAAGGAAAATCTGTTCAATGTTTTTTTCAGTAACTAAAAATTACTTGCTTATTGGGGAAAAAAAAAGAAAAAAGAAGCTGTATCACTGAGCTACTTTTTTTATTTGAAAGAAAACCTTAAACCAAAGGGCCCTAAATATTGGATTTTTTATAGAAACTTGACATGTCTTTCACATATGCTACCAGGCTTCATTTTCATATTAATGGGATGAAAATATATAAACAATAAAAATGAATGTAATGGAGTAATTTTGAAGAATTGATTTGTTTTTATATACTAGGGATTGAGGATCTGATCAAGCCCAAAATCTTCTTACCTTGGTCTTGAATGTGCTTAGTAAGCACCATTAAGTGTTGGGCCATGATGCATGCTTTTTGCAGGTTATATCGTCGTAGTTGAATAGTTGAGAGAGGAAATAAATGGGAAGTTAGATATGTGTAAATAAGCTTTGGAAGTATATGGTTTTCTGATAAGTACATGATTGAGATTGGTATCTTTACTAGAAGGAATAGAGAAGACATCCCCAATTTACAGAAAAGAACACACTGCAGAACTTTGAGGGTCTGAACCTCCCAAATCCCAATGGATAATTAAAGCTAGGTTCAATGCATCATAAGAAGTACTGGTACCTTTAATTATTGAATCTGTGGCTGCCATGGACTTCATGGGTGATCTTGCTTTGTTTAACTTTTGTTAAAAATATAAAATCATACCTGGTTCTCTCTGTAATTGTTGAAGGCTTTGTGAGAGTTGTATGTGTTGTTTTGCCTTTTATTTACCATAGACGGTGGAATGTTTACATGTTGTGAAACAATTATTTCTGAAAGAAAGTTTTCCTTCCACCAAATGGGTGATTGGAGTACTTCCAACACAAACAAACAGCTTTGATCATAGACATGGAACAAGTCTCCTCAATCTTAAAAATGTGGATTAAAAATCTAACTTAACCTTATAAAAACAGCTTGTAAGGATAGAATTACTATTCACTTACGCATTCTATCTCTCATCCAGCACTATTGGACTTGATACATGGATAAATGGTTAGTCTTTCTTTTGAAAGTTCTTGGGTGAGCTCATGGGATTTGAGTTTTTTTCCCAATAAGCCCCTTTCACGCTCAACATTATTGTACTTGGTGCATGTATAAATGGTGAGTGATCCTTTTTAATGGATCTAGAATAGTTTGGATATCATCTTAAAATGTGGATTAAGAACCTAACTCAACCATATAAAACAAACTTGTAAGATGAGGATTGTCCCCTACTTCATTAGTCGATATGGGACTTGGTTTATGACTCAACCAAGTAGTTAGGAATTTTGATCTTTGCTAGCTCAATTCTTCATAATTAAATTAAATTTTTGCAGATGGTAAAGCAGGTTGAGGGGGTGTATTAAAAATATAAAACCATTTTTCAGCCTTCACATGATCCTTTAAGCTTTTTGAAGAGTCATTCATTGACAATGTTTCACTTTTTAACTTCTAAGAATTAGCTATTGCAGTTTATTGTCTTATCACAATAATTGATCACCAGCTTTCTTTTTTCTTTTTTTTCCCTCAAATATTCTGACTCTGTAAGTTAAATTCATTCCCATCTTCAATTATACAGCGGTGGACTTGGATCACTTTTGGAGCAAATGGTTGAGGTTTTATGTCGGCATGTATCAGATGAATCTTCAACTGTTCGGCGATTATGTTTGCGAGGATTAGTACAGGTCTTGTGTTTCATCCTATGATATTTTGTCATGTAAACATGGTCTCTTTGTTTTGAATTGTAATTATTTCAACACGAATTTAGCCATTTTAAATGCTTGATTGCTTGCCAATTATCTTCTCACTTAACTTCTTGTACATTTGTGCGGAGGATTAACTTTTTATTTGAAGTATTGATATGTAAAGAACTTTCTGTAGACTGTTGTACATCAGCCAATACAAAATTACTTTGAAGTATTTATTGAAGCTTTGCAATCTGAGTAATGCATTTGTGATAATTGAGCATGACATGATCATTGAACTGTGGCATATGTTTTTGTTGCGAACTCTCTGGGGGTTGCTTTAATTGCAATCTCAAGGGTGGTGATTTAGTCCTACATTAACTAGAGATATGGCTTAAATAAAGCTTAGAGTTGAAGCCTGAAATCCGAATTCTAGGTGTTGAATATCAGAAAATGAAAGAAAGATATGAAGCTTGGTGTTTGTTATTGATATTCTGATCTCTTCAAGAAAGAGATAAGATTATATAGTTATAGAGAAAGAGTACATGAGAAGCTAAGTAACTATGCCGATGTGGCTTAAGCCAATCAGCTTACATATATCCTAACCAACAGCTAGCTTACTATGCTGATGCAGTAGTTTGTCACTCAACTTAGAGATACAGAGGAGAATAACTCTATTACTACTACAAACTCAGGTTTGTGAGGAACTCAGAACCTTGAGTTTGTCTCTGAAAGAACAAAACTGAGTCTTAGGAAGAGGCTTGGTGAGGATTTCAGATCTTGATCAGGAAGATAGGAAACAACAAGTGACTTGTGAAGAACCCTTTCTCGAACAAGGAAAACATCAAACTCAATATGTTTAGTTTGAGAGTGAAGAACTGGATTGTGACTCATAAGCAATGGTGCTTTTATTATGGCCATATATAACTCTCTATTACTAAGTTTTCACTTGGATTTTTCAATTCTAGGGAGGTGATCTCTATACACTTTTATGATTTTTTATGCTTCCCATTTAAAATAACATCACTAAATATTGAAGTTGCAGATCCCAATGATTCATATTCTGAAGTATACAACTCAAGTCTTGGGCGTTATATTAGCTCTGCTAGATGATTCTGATGAATCTGTACAATTAACTGCTGTATCATGCTTACTGATGGTCAGGTTCTTTACCTCCTGTGCGTTTGATTGTGTTTACTTCTTCATCCATTCTAAATTCAGTTATTTACTTTGTTTTTGGCTTGTAGATTCTTGAATCTTCACCTGATGATGCAGTTGAGCCCATTTTGCTTAATCTTTCAAAACGACTTCGAAATCTTCAGGTTTGTAAATTTACTCTTCTATGTATGATTGATTATTTTTTTTTTTTGGGGGTTCTTAATGTTTATAAGAAGTGTGCTATGAGAATCACAAAACATGAGAGAACAAGTGATTTTGAAGATGAAATTCTTGATTTTCTGATAGGAACATTCTGATATTTTTGTACAATGAATCCGTGCTGTTATTCAGTTACAAGCAGTAACATAATCTAACTAATGAACTGAGCCCGCAGATAAAAATGTTCTGGAATATTCTAGCTAGGGTACACTAATGGTTAGGCAAATATACAGCCCAGCTACACTGATCTGTTATGCTCATGATTATAAACATATATAATATAGAAACATCTACACGAGTCATATAAGCATGTATAATATAAACACTAATGTTTATGATACATATCAATAAAGTATCTAAGCCTTTAAAAAACTTATGAAAATTCAATACAGCTACATGAGACATAAACATGTATAGAAACATAGAAGGATTGTCCTTTGATGAACAAAAATAGAAATTGTTCTCTTTATGGATGGCTTCAAGAATAAAATGAGATTGATAGTATTCTTCCTATTTGTAAATAATAGGAAGTATTGATAGTATTATTCCAATTTTAAATAGGAAGTCTCTCTCTTTCTCTCTCTCTCTCTCTCTCTCTCTCTAT